AGAGGTCTTTTTTCCAAGATCTATAAAGAACTCAAGAAATCAGGTATCAAAACAACAAATAATCCAATTTAAAAATGGGTTACAGATGTCAAAAGAGAATTCCCAAAAGAGTGCTCCTAAATGACGGAGAAACACTTAACCTTAACCATCAGGGGAATGCAAATCAAAACTACTATGAGATTCCACCTTACACCTGACAAAATGGCTAATATCAATAACACAAGTGACAGGTCATGCTGGTGAGGATGTGGGACAAGGGGAACACTCCTCCATTGCTGATGGGAATGTAAATTGTACAGCCATGTTGGAAATCAATATGGTGATTGTTATGATAGGGCATGAAAGAGACTTTGGAAGGTTGTAGTCAAGGAGCCCCACAGCAGGGAGTGGGTGTTGAAAGACATCCTTCAATGAACAGAAACTTCAGGTTGAGAGGTACTAAGAGGCCCATTGAAGTCTTCCTTGCACATGGATATCCTTGTGTTTAGACATCAGGGCTACACCATGATTAAAGATAAACAAAATGAATTGAAATCATTTTAACAAATCATAACAACTATTTGAAGTCTTTTAATTTCAATTTTTAAATAGTGAAATATATGTAGAGTACAACTTAGAAAATCCTTATTGATAACCAAATTTTAATTCATACATTAAGTACCTTTCGTACCCTAAAGGGCATATGTAAAATCCTAAGTTATTCCTTTAGAGTTACATTAAAACCGAGTAACACAGTGAGAAGCTAGTTATTAAAATATTATGTGATTAATATGAAAACCATTTTCCTACCCCTTCATAGAGTGTGTGTGTGTGTGTGTGTGTGTGTGTGTACATCTGAGTGTATGTGCATGTGTGAATGCAGATGCTTGTGGAGGCCATAGGACAATCATGGGTGTTGTCCTCAGGCTTTGTCTACTTGTTGTTGGTTAGCATGCTTCTTCACTGGCCTGGAACTTGCTAGTGACTAAGCTGGCCAGCAAAGACCTGTGGCTCTGCCATTCTCTTCCTCTTCAAAGTGGCATTGAAAACATACACTTGGCTTTCATTTAAGTGGGTTCTAGGGATTGAACCCAGGTCATTATACCTGTGACAAGTCCTTTACCAAACCATCTCCCTTGCCTCATTAAAGAATTAGTTTTTAGCCAGGCGGTGGTGGCACACGCCTTTAATTCCAGCACTCAGGAGGCAGAGGCAGGTGGATCTCTGTGAGTTCGAGGCCGGGATGGACTGACAGCCTCAAAAACAATGCAGAGAAACCCTGTCTTGTAAAAACAAAAAAAAAAGCAAAAAAGAATTTGTTTTTAAATACCTGCTTCAGATATTAAATTATGCACAAAGTCCTAGCTGATAATAGAATCATTTGCAACAAACAGGAGTGGGCCCAGAATGGTTTTGATCCCTCATAAAACCCAGGACTCTGATACCTGCCTGAAGATTTTTGAAGATCAAATGAGTTTTATGATACCACTGTACATCAAAACAGCCTCAGCCATGACAGAAGCAGCAGGCAGGATCCCGGGTTACTACTTAGTGTGACTAACTTCCTGAAACAAACATGTGGCCATGGGCCAAGTGATTCAGCTCCAATGAGACATCTGCTAAAAAAACCTTCTTAGAGAAGTTGATACCAGTGGTAATTAGATTTCGACAGGGAGATGCATCAGCTGTTCTAAGTCACAAGAGCCTTGCTCAGGCTAACTAAGGGAGCAGTCTTCTATTCCCCAAGTGTCCCATTAAAATTAATTCTCTTTTCTAAGTGTGAGGGTTTTTTTTCATTCCTCTCTTCCTAAAAAAGTTCCCAGGAAGATTGTTTCAGTAGTTATCTAAGGTTTATCAGATTCCACCAGGAAATTATAGTTAGGTGACTCCATGAATCATGAAACTTAAGTGAGCAAATGTAATGATACAGAAGCGAATAAACAGGAAGATCTCATATATACATATATATATATAGAAATTCATCATGAATATTTTAAGACTATATCATCCTTCCAAAGACATCACTGAACCCTGTGCTCAACAAGAACAACTGACTGCTGTCTTGATGGGGCTCACAGTAAAAGTCAGATGCCTTTGCAGTGGAATATTTCCATTCTCTCCAGATTAACACAATTGGCTCAAGTGAACAAGAACAAAACAGATTATTGAATAAAATATTCATTACACACTTTATGGAAATAATCTTAGGAATAGGACTGGCTGCAAGTCATGAGATAATACAAAAATAAGCAAGCACTACAGGGGCAGTGGTAGCCACCAGATTACCATATAGAGAAAGTGTTGTCAAGGCATAAAACTGAATGATTGATTCCCTCAGAACCCTGATGCTGATCAGTATTTGATGGGAATAGCCAGAAGGAAATGTCACTGTCAATCTCCTTCGTAGGCCTTATATCTGCAATATATTTGTGTACATGCAAATGGCCTATGTTAAACTGAATGGATATCAGAAAGAAACGTCAAGGTCATTTGCACATCAATGCTAAAGAGAATACTGGACCAGTGATATTGGTTTGATTAAGGCTTGAATGAACAATCCACTGACATTAGTCCTTTAAATATGTATTCAAGTTGTTTCTCAAGAAGAGCACCTAGAACCTACTCTGAAAGCCCATGATTGATTTGAGAAGTGACCATCCACTTAAGCTCAAACCATTACCTTGTGAGGAACATGATGCTGTAAGAGGGCATGTAAAGGGAAGCTTTTTCCTTGAGAGGAGCCTTCCCGCCAGCCCGGTTCTAGAGCCACATCAGTCCCAAATAAACACACAGGAGGCTATATTCATTATGAAGCTGTTGGCCTTGCTTGTTTCTTACTGGCTAGCTCTGACTTAAGTAATTACCCCATAGTTGTTAATCTAAGTATTTCTCTTACCGGAGAATAGTTCCGGGCTTCTTACCCCATGGTGTTACATCTTGACTCTCTGTGTTTCTCCTTCCCAGAGTCCTCCTGGACTCCTAGTCCCACCTATAATGGTGATCAGGAGTGGGATGATGAATTTCCACATAGAATGACAAAAGCTTTAAAGGAATTTTAGAAACAGAAGAACAGAGAGAAGCACAGATTTTTGGTAGCAGCATTTTTCTCAGGTGGGCTCTGTTTTGCTAGCGACAAGCCGAGATTCACACGGCTCGCTTTCAGGAGTCTTCCTGACTCGGCATAAAAAGAAAAAAAAAAACAGCAAGGTTCTTTTAAGAGACTCTGCTAACAATTGAAAAGTTATACGTATAGCTGGAAGTGGCAGTGACCACATCTCCAAGCTGGCAGCTGGAGTCACGCTTACGCCCACCATCTTGGAAAAAAAAAAACAGCAGTTTTAAACAGCCATGGTTTTACAGATAAGACACGTGGCCAGAAAAACGTAAAGATTTACAGTAAAGTCAGACTTGGATGAACAAAACCTCTGAAGGTTTACAGTGTGTTTAAAAATATACGTAAGATTGAGAGAAAAAGAAACTGCCCGGCTGTGGTGGCACATGCTGGTAGGATTTGCCGCAGAAGCAGAGGCAGGCAGATTTCCAAAGAGAAACCCTGCCTCAAAGAAAAATAAATAAAAGTAAAAGAAATAGAGTAATAATAAATAAATAAGCCACGTAAAGATGGAAAATACACAGAGAGTCTGGATACTGTACGCTATTGTGTTTTTCAGTTTTTTCATTGCTAAGGAAGGAACAACTGCAAAAGTACACTTGATTATAAATGCTACTAAATTAATTCAACTTATATCTTTTGAAAATGTCTTGACTTCAAAAATTAAGTATTGAAAGACCCCTACCCAGGACCCCCTAGGAAAAGAAAAGCAAGGCCAGGCCGTTGCCTAATGAAAAAAACCCAGACCATGTGCCTTGCCCAGCTGGCAGGATGTCAAACAGGATCTGTGGTCACCAGAGCAGTCATGAGACCCGGATAATAATTGCTGAAGCGTGCCAGGGTCTTTTATGTGGCAATACCAGGACACCTAGTCCTTGGCAACTACCCCTACCCCCAGTTGTGTCTATGATCACCATAGTAGTCATGGGACCTGGATAATAATTGCTGAAGCGTGCCGGGGTCTTTCATGAAGTAATACCAGGAAACTTAGTCCGTGGGAACTACCCCTGCCCCCAAGATGAGCCAATGAAATGCCTGTTACTTATGTAACCATTAAAACTCTATAAATATTGTGCTCCCTGCAAGCCCGGGATGCTCTGCACCGGAGTTGCAATAACATCCACAGGCGCCTGTGTACTCAATAAATCACCTCTTGCATTTGCAGCCAGTGGTATGGCCCCGGATCTTGGGCAGAGGGTTCGGTTCAGTGCCTGGCGTTTTGATGCTGAGGTTTTTCAGTATAAGGATATGTTACTTGGGAAAGGAGATTTTGTTTATGTTTCTACAGAAAATGAAAAGCTGAGGATTCCTTCCAGGCTTGTGTGGTTTCATGAACCAAGACCCCTGGAAGCAATGGGCCGGGTGTTCCAACAATTGAGACAGCTAAGATGATGGAGCTTCACAGACCACGAAAATAAGGACTTGTACAGGTTTCTGAGTTTTGTCATGATCCCCATGGTATGAACAGCGCCCCCTTCCAGCACGAAACAGTTTGGAATGAGCGATGTCCTAATTCCCATCTTGTTTATAAATCTTAGTTTTCATTTAAATGGGGTTGTTTATAATTGGCTAGTGATCACAGCCAATTATAATGGTAAAAAGGGGAATTATGGTATGGGTATAGTTTTTCATTTATTGATACAAATTCAAGGTCAACTTGTGATGTGTATATTTCTCCTCTTGGTTAAGTATTGGGCTTATACTGATCTTTTAAAATGTAATGCATAATTGAATACAGACTATAGATAGTTGTTTATAATAGAATTTATAGTTAGGTTAGTTAGGTTTTTTAGATATACAGAGATACATTTGAGATATTTAGTCTTCAAACCTTTCAAAGACCTTCAGAAAATGGCATTTAAAATGCTTTAGGTGCACTTCGCTGTTGAACGCTCTCCAGGGTGTTTGCAAAAACCTCTCTGCTTTAACTGCAGGGCCACCCGACAGCCAGAAACAAGCCATGTCTATTCTCAAGGTCCACGCCCGAGAGATCTTTGACTCCCGTGGGAACCCCACTGTTGAAGTTGACCTCTACACCTCAAAAGGTCTCTTCCGAGCTGCTGTGCCCAGCGGTGCCTCCACGGGCATCTACGAAGCCCTAGAACTCCGTGACAATGACAAGATGCGCTACATGGGGAAGGGTGTCTCAAAGGCTGTTGAGCACATCAATAAAACTATCGCACCTGCTCTGGTTAGCAAGAAATTGAATGTTGTGGAGCAAGAGAAGATTGACAAGCTGATGATTGAGATGGACGGCACTGAGAATAAATCTAAATTTGGTGCAAATGCCATCCTGGGTGTGTCCCTGGCTGTCTGCAAAGCTGGTGCTGCAGAAAAGGGGGTTCCCCTGTACTGTCACATCGCTGACTTGGCTGGCAACCCTGAAGTCATCCTTCCCGTCCCCGCTTTCAATGTGATCAATGGTGGTTCCCACGCTGGCAACAAGCTGGCCATGCAGGAGTTCAGGATCCTTCCTGTGGGGGCGTCCAGTTTCCAGGAAGCCATGCGCATTGGGGCAGAGGTTTACCACAACCTGAAGAATGTCATCAAGGAGAAATACGGGAAGGATGCCACCAATGTGGGTGATGAGGGTGGATTCGCTCCCAACATCTTGGAGAACAAAGAAGCTCTGGAGCTGCTGAAGAACGCAATTGGGAAGACCGGCTACACAGACCAGGTTGTCATTGGCATGGACGTGGCTGCATCTGAGTTCTTCAGGTCGGGTAAGTATGACCTGGACTTCAAGTCTCCTGATGACTCCAGCAGGTACATCACACCCGACCAGCTGGCTGACCTGTATAAGTCCTTCATCCAGGATTATCCAGTTGTGTCCATCGAGGACCCCTTTGACCAGGACGACTGGGAGGCCTGGCAGAAGTTCACAGCCAGCGCCGGCATCCAGGTGGTTGGGGATGACCTCACAGTCACCAACCCTAAGAGGATTGCCAAGGCCGTCAGTGAGAAGTCCTGCAACTGCCTCTTGCTCAAAGTCAACCAGATTGGCTCTGTGACCGAGTTTCTGTAGGCGTGTAAGCTGGCCCAGTCCAATGGCTGGGGCGTCATGGTGTCCCATCGCTCTGGGGAGACTGAGGATACCTTCATCGCAGACCTGGTGGTGGGGCTCTGCACTGGGCAGATCAAGACTGGTGCCCCTTGCCGATCTGAGCGTCTGGCCAAGTACAATCAGATCCTCAGAATCGAGGAAGAGCTGGGCAGCAAGGCCAAGTTTGCTGGCAGATCCTTCAGGAACCCCCTGGCCAAGTAAAGGGGGTAGAGATCCCTGGAAACACCTGATTAGACCCTGTTCCCGATGTCGTCATGGCGGCTCAAGGCCCACCCAGTGCTTGTCCCTCCCATGCCACCGCTTCCTTAGACACATGGAGCCCTGCTGGAGACCCCAGCTGTGTAACTATGTGATTGGCTGAGTTGTTTCTGTCATCTCACTTGTAAGCTAGCTCTGGAGCCCAGTGTAATCTCTAGGGGTGGACACAGGCAAGACCCCCCACCCACCCCAGCGGTCCTTAAAAAAAATAAAAAATAAAATAAAATGGTTTAGGGTTTTTCTTGACAATGAGAAATGTCTGCTATTGGCAGCACCAATTATGTCTGAGAGGAAGATGGGCATTGAAGAAACTCGTTATGCAGTTTGCTTTCAACATGGCAAGATTAGTCATTTGGGCAAGAAACTGCTCTTGCCTAGACTGTTTGACTGTTGCTGTATAAACTGGACATGCAGGTCCCACAGGAAAGTGAATGCTGAACTCAGTCTTACAGGGTTCCTGCTTCATGGAAGAATCTACGACACTTTCTGCAGGACACAGAGTAATGACTGACAGACTGCCAACGCAGATGGACAGTTTGAAATTTCCTGCTTTGCTGAGAAATCTTCTGGATACATTGTGGCCTGTGGGCTGAAGATGGATGCCTCAACATTACAGAGGAACTTTGGGTGACTGTCCAGGTAGCAAGATGTCTCTGTCAATCCTAGTATTTATATGTTATCCTTCTGTGGTCTTTGATGGAGTTGAAGACAGATAGTTATAATTATAGTTTTCCTTAGTTATGATAAAAGATAAGCTACATATAGGACTTTGGACTCACAAGAATGAGATAGATGATATTTTCTTTAAATCTTGCTAAATGTTGATAGACAAAATATTGTAACTATGTTCTTACTTGATAACTGTTCTTTTATATATAATTTGACTATGTTAAAGTTAAGACCTTTCTTTTTGTTTAGACAGAAAAGAGGAGATGATATGGGAAGTCCTGTGATTATGTCAGTAAAGCACTGTTGGGCCAATAGGTATCTAGATAGGTGGGACTAGGAGTCCAGGAGGACTCTGGGAAGGAGAAACACAGAGAGTCGAGATGTAACGCCATGGGGTAGGAAGCCTGGAAACTTCTCCGGTAAGAGACATACTTAGATTAACAATTATGGGGTAATTACTTAAGTCAGAGCTAGCCAGTAAGAAACAAGCAAGGCCAACAGCTTCATAATTAATATAGCCCCCTGTGTGTTTATTTGGGACTGGTGCGGCTCTAGAACCAGGCTGGCGGTTCAAAAGAAAAGCTTCCCTTTACAAGGGCATAGTTACAGTTCACAGGCATAGAAGGAACCCTTAATCCAGCCCTTGTTGCCACTTGTCAGTTGGCACCCTTAGCCTTGTCCCTGTTATAGTTCCCTCAGGACCCACATCCTTATGCACAAATACTTTGAATGTGAATTTCTCTTTAGTTCTAACTTCCTAGTTAGGAAAAAGATGAGAAAGAGAAAGGAGGGAAAGGGCAAAAATGTAAGGAAAGTGAAAAAGGGTCTTTAATATGAGAGCTGAGCTCTGGAATCAGTGCTCATTAACATAAAGATTACCACACGAGTCCTTTATGAGTACTAGTTTTCTGTTTCTGCCTGTAGCCATGAGCATATCTACATGAAATACAAATTATTTCATGATCTGGGGTGATAACTTACCGTAACACCCAAGCAAGCATTTGCTAAGGTAGGAGGGTACCCCTGAGAAACAAAGTATTCTAAATTTAGAAATGATCAGCACAACTTCAGACATTCTGATAAAATAACATTAATTCCATCTTTAATAGTATTATAGAGTATAAATATAACAAGTCTTCATTTGTTTTAAGTTTAATTTCTGTAGAAAAAATAAATATTCCACATGAAACCATACGAAAGCGATAACGAAAGGTCCTGTTATAGACCCACGTGAATGTGGTCATTGCCTTTACAAACACATACCAGGGGCTCCACACTGAGAATAAAGCATAAAGTGGAGCCTAGTGAACCAGGCATCTGACCCTCACCCACAATTAATGTACGTGGTCCTTGATCTTAGCTTTTCTCACCTGCAGAACTGAGAAATGAAATTATGTTACATGTAAACCAAGTTGATACAAGAGCAGCCCTAGTGAATGAGGGTTTGTGTGAAATAGCTCTAGTCTCTCACTCTTTGCCTTCAAGCAAATTCATTCAATATATTCTTGACCTCGATTATGCAATTCATTGGGTGAAACCAAGGTCATGTTTCATATGATGTTAATAGTTTCCACATTAGTGGACCAAAACTATTCTAAGTACTCCACAATTATGAGGTTTTTTATTTTTCATGCAGCAGATGAGAATGCTGCTACCATGGCCTTGTGCATGACTGTGTCACTTTTCAGGGGATTTCCTCAGACAAACTGTGAATTAACCCATCAGTAGTCGTTAAAAGAGTCAAGGGGTGGCCTTTGCAGAGAACTAGGTTTCCTCTCTACCCCTTGCTCTTCCCTTTGATAAACTTCCCTGAAAACCCTACCTTGCCATCTGGACACTCACATCCATTCTTTCATAATTATATTTAGTAAAAGTTGAACTTTAAAATACAGGTACTACACAATGCGGTACTATAAAGCTACATTCACATGTAGTCCTGGAGAACAGTTACCTGTGGAAGCCTGTGTTTCCAGGATTATCCAGGGTAACCCTTTCAAACTTACTGCCCAGTGAACATCCAGATAGATGCTATTCTCCCTCTTAAGTGATTTCATTTGGTCTCAGCAATGAGAAAAACAATAAGTATGTTCTTTGTGCACAGAATCTCATAATTTATCATCCCAAGCTGTAAGCATGGCTGCTATGAGAATGGGAATTATCTCATCTGGGTCTTCTTCACCTCTGTCTCTACGTCTTTGTGATTTGCATCTTCTCTGTCTCCATCTTCACTGTCTTCCTAAGCAGAACCCTCTTCTATCTCTTTTGCCACAACTTTCACGAACAGTATCCTCTCAGTTTCCAACCTTAGATAATGAGTCTGCATTACATTGTGAAAACGCAGCACTAAGTGAATGCATCTCCTTTTCTTTTGAGATACAAGCTTAGATATCCCTCCACAAGACACATTATCTCAATGGAAAGCTGTTGACATGGTGTCTGCTTTTTCCAGCGCTTATATTCCTCAGGGTCTCCCATCCCAGGAAAGCATCTGCATCTTTGTGAGGCAAAGCAATCTGTGCATGATCCATAAGTTGAAAAGCACCTCAGCATCATCACCATAATGGAGATCCACAGGAGACTCTGGGACAATGCTATTGTAATCTACAGCTGACCATCACAGAGTCCTCAAGACAAAGCATCCTGATGCTTTCGAATTTGAGCAATAATGTTATCCTCCAACTCAATCAACAACTATGTCAGTTTCTGGTAAGTTTAATGTCACAACTTCAAATATGAACTCCTAGTGGAAAGCAAGAGCACATGAGCCATGGACAGGCTTCTCCAGAGTCAAACCAGCACTTCCTCAACACCATTAGACATGCATCTGTTCTCTTTGACCATGGGAAGTTGATGTTCTCAGCACCATGTAGTTTTGTCACATTGCAGCAGTGACTTGATGGAGCCTTTAAACTTGCTTTCCATTTATGTGTGCATGTGATGTGCATGTGTGTGCTGCATGCACATGTGTGTGTGTGGGGTTTACACATGTTGTGTGGATACCACAAAAGACATCCCATGTCCTGCTTTGCTATTCCCTGTCTTAACTTCTTCTAAGACAGTCTCTAGATGAAGCCATGCTGGTGGACAAGAAGTCACAGGGACTCTCCTGTTTCCACCTCCCCATACTGCTGGGATTTCTGGAAGGAAGCATCTCAGTTGTCTCATTTTATAAACACAGTGACTAGGATCTGAACTCAGGTTCCTGTGCTTTCACAGCAAACACCGTAGATACTATAAAAATGACCCAAATGTGCTGTTTTAAAGAAAATGGTAATTAATCCAGCTTAGCACATCAAAGCCAATATATTTTACTATAAAAATCTATTTTAAAATCCTTTTGATTATGGTAATTGACCTACAGATAATGCCATCATAAAGTGAAAATCTAACATAGAAATAGAAAGAGAAATGAATGAACCCTTAATCAGAGCAATGTAGCACTAACAGACAAAACAAGCAGGAATCTGATTGAAGAGAACCAGAAACACATTATGCTTGAGAATACAAGTGAAATGGTTTCTTCCAAAGCTGTCCAGTGACACGGCGTTATGGAGCCACAGAAGCCCCGTTGGGCATGCTTAGGTGACTATAGATGGATGCCACACGCATCTTACCTCACGTAATTCCTCAACTTGCTCAGCACTGGAGATCTACCTTCTACCATGTCAGAGAGTTGGTTTTCAATTGCTCCCACTGTGTATAGCAACCAACTGTGGGAATAAGCCATGAACAGACATTGGTGAAGTTCTGTCAGAATGATTACAAATACAGTTAGTTAGTGAGCATTCCTAATGAATGAAGTATGTGTGAGCATCGTGTGAGTGAAGTTATGTAACAGAATGTTCACTCACGTACCTCTGGACTTATAGGCAGCAGTAGTACGAACTTTTATATGCAGCCAACTTGCCAATAACTGGAATACATAATAGTTTGCTCATGTTAGAGATTTGGTCACCAAATTAGGAGCTGGTACCTTTGAAGAAGATCTTGTCCCTAGGGCCTTCCTCCCCCTCTGTCTGCCACGCCCCCAGCTGACATGCAGTGAGAGTTGTTTTCTCACCTCCGGAACATAAGAAATTCCACTTCACTCAGGCCTGTACCATAAATCTAGTTGACCAGGGATGTAAATCTTAGAAACCCTCAAAATGCACAAAATCCAAGTTTTGGGGTAGCAGAAGCTAGACACATGAATTTGAGGCTGATCTACACTATATTAAAGGAATTCCAATTAACCAAACTCAAACATAAATATATTAATAGAGATAAATAAGACTCTTTTCTCTTAAGGTAAGTGTTGTTTGTCCAAGACAGAAGACTGACTAACAGAGAATGTCAAGCTCTGGTTAAGCTGGGGCTTTGCTGGCCCCTTTGCTTTTGCCATTTATGTGCATTACAGGGCATTGTTTTACAACTCCCCAATGACTAATGTCTATAGAAATTAAGGTTTTACAAAGTTGTATATATTTA